ATTGGCCCCCAGGAAGAATAAAATAGCAAGGGTAAAGGGAAGAATGCCCAAGCCCACTTGCTGTTTGGATTAGAATTTAGAAATGATTTGTTTAGAAGAGGGAAAGATATCCCTAAGTATCTTCCCCCCCCCCCTTTAAATTCCTTGTCATTTGGAGCAAAACAAGAGGCAGAAGAAGCCTTCGTTGGCAGGGATGTTCAGCAAAAACTCCAGGGTCATCTTCTCTGCTTCTCTGATCACAGGAGCTCTAGAAGTAATTGGCTGCCTTCAGGCAGGTTGTCTCTGGGCTTTTGTTTCCCCATTCATAAAATGGAATTGCAGTGATCTACATCATAGACATAATGTGGATAAACATTTAGTGATTTCCCCCATTAATGCGTAAAGCCTTTAGCCACTTATGAACCTCACACTTTCATCCACCCATAGGAGCCCTGCGTGACTGACTGAGGAGAAATCCTGACTAGCTCCCCTCTCCGTCATCGCTTGTTGATCCACCTTAGTTAGAGATTCGATGTTCCAGTCGGACACAGATGGTCTGTTGTGTGAAGGGAGGCTGTTTAGGGAGAAGGGCTTACATTGCGTTCTTCTTCCTCACTCCCTTTTAGCCCTGCTCCTAGTAGTCGGAGACCAGCTTTTGTGGTTTCTGTTAATGGCCCCGTTGGTGGTGTCTGGACTTTATAGCAATCTGTATTTCTGGGATGCTAGAATGTGCCTTCATGTTACCCAAGGCCTGTGTTTCCCATTGTCACTTCACAAGGGTGCATACCAAGGAACTGCAAAACTGTTCCCCTTGCCCCGTGAGAGGGCAACTGCATTTTGCAGTGCTCTCAACAAGAGGAAAGAATAAAAACAGTTGATTGTACAAGTTAAACAAAACTGCACAAATAGCACTTTAACACAGACAATGCAGGTTTCACAAAATGACAGTGACAGCTGCTTTGTTGTACAAATTTTTAAAGATCAGAAATACTGGAAAGGCGTTTCCACATTGCTGTTGTTTTAACAACAAACCTGTTGTTCTGTGCCTGCCTCTCCGTGTGGGCTTTGTTTTTCAAAGGCAAGAGACACTAATTTTGCATGAGATGGTTTGCAGAAATTACTGAGACCTTGTGTGCGTGTGTGTGTGGGGGGGAAAGCAGTGTTCCTTGTCTCACTCTCACCTGGAGGCAAGGCTTTGCAATAATTCATGGAGGTGTCAAGTGGTGTTGTGACAGCCTGACTCCAACAGAATGAAGAAATCCATGAGTATTCTTTAAATCTCTAGTTAGCATCCCCGTGAAACACAAGACTCTCCTTTTGAAGTCCCGAGAGTCATACACCCACCCCTGCATCTCCCGTGTCAGAAGATGATCCAGGTCTGAGGGCATGACTTACTACCTTGAGGGGCCACGACATTCTTTCCTTAGACAAGCAAACCACTGTGTTAATCTAGAACTGTTTGCAGTCAGGCACCCACTGAGCCCATTTTCAGCTCTCAGAGAACAATCCTCCCCCCTCCTTTCTGATCAAAGAGCGGATCCCTTTCCAGCTAGGCAAGCAAAAGAAGCCACAAAGCAAATCCAAGCAGCCGCATCTGCTGATTGTCAGCTTCAATGGGTTCAGATCCTCGCTGGGGCCTTTCTCCTCTCCTCCCGCTTCCACTGCCTTTACTACTTCGTCAGGGTCTCAGCTGTTAATTACCTTTGCCTGTCAGCCTTGCCTGCTAATCTGCTATCACTGAGTGGAAAGCAGGAGGTCAGACAACAAAGGTGACACTGCCACACTGCGTCCCTTGTCATCTCCAAGCCAGATTAGTTTCATTGACTAACTCCTGGCTGAATACCGCCAGTTAATTATAACGATCACAAACCCTCCCATTTTAAAGCCACACAGCGAGAATTAAGGGTTCTGAAGTAAGACTTTAGCTTCATTAATTGCCCAGCTCTTTGTGATGGTATTGATTGATAAGGCTCTTGCGTGGTGAGTAATGGCTTCCTGGCTCAGAGGGGATTAAGCCTGCTAATTGTTGTCGGCCTGGCGCTGACAAGATAGACTTCAGTGGGTGTCAAATCCATATCGGCGGCTTCCTTTGTCATGAGCAGCATCCGTGCCTCTGCTCTCCAGAATGAAAGGACTGCGCAATAACCCAGGAATAATTAATAAGGCATTGTGGCTGGCAGCATGTTGGCCTCCCCTTCTTTGTCATCCTCCCCCCTCCCTCTGCCTTTTTCTTCTCCAAACTTGTCACAAGTGGTGTTTGGCTACCCTGAAGATGGAGACATGAAAAGGCATGACCCTCTCTGTTTGACAAGTCAGTAGCCTAAAGGCATGGTACATTTTTTAGAGTGGTACAGAATGCGTCATCAGGCAGTCTGAATATTCAGAGGGCAAGATAGTGAAATGAGATCTCATATGTCCAATTTTACTTTCCAGTAAGGCTTGTTTCTGCTGGCAAAAGGCAAATCGGTTACATAACAGATTTGAGATTCTACAATCCTGATGGGCAAAAGGCTGACTTCTTTATTGCTTGTGAAAAATCTGTGAAGTGTCTTGCACATCAATAGTACAGCATTATTATACATTTGCCCAAATCTTACACCCTTGTTTTACATTTGGCATAAATTGTGGCAATGAATTGCTTAAAGTTCAGAAGTTGGTATGGGGCACCTGCTGTTGCCTCCCAAGCTGGAGCCTACGGATTTTCCATTGCATAATGTGGGATCATGCCACTTGTCCAAGTATTGCTGTTGTGTGAGCTGAGGACAATTCTTGCACAAGAAGCGTGATCCTGTGTTGCTTTGCTGGCAGGACTTTCTGCTCACCACAATAGGATACTGATCTATTGATTTAATTGTGGGTGATCCCTGCTCTAAACTGCCCTTTCTGAGCTCTGAATGTCCCTTCTCCCAACTGGAAAGATTTGTGGCCTCCTTAACTAGAGTCCACTCTGTTACCTTGGGGAGAAGGCAGCCAGGTGAACGAGTTGATAGCTTCATTTGAACCTAGAGCCAAAGAGAAGAAACACATCCTGACTTGTTTCCCAAGCTTAGCTGAAGGCTGGGATTGGTTTTGGACCCATGCTTGTGGATCAGAAGCTCAGAAGCCAAACAAGTCTCCATCTCAAGCTCAGAAATGGACACAGGAGAGAGAAGGACGTGGGCTTAGTTCTGTCTTTGATCAGGGCTCTAGTTTGAACATGTAGTTAGACACAAAGTCAGGGACTCTTCCGTCTTCTCCAGTGATGAACAACTGTGGGGTAGTGGCTTCTGTCCCCATCTCCACCTTTTTGCACCTGGAAAGTGTAGCAGCAGGTTCCCCAGAGAGACCTGCCCAAATGTGTTCATATTGTCTTTCAAGGGGCTTCCTGGGCTCAATCAGATAACAGCTTCTTCCGAGTCTAAAACTGAACGTACAGCTTCCTTGTGTGCTGGGCTGTCTGAATCCATTTATTTGCCCATGTGCCTGCAAAGTGCAACTTACCATGGCCTGAAAGGGTCAAAGCCATTAGCGTTGTGTGCAGAGATGCAGTCAAAAATCTGTCAGAAGAGTCACATGGCCCATTTGCCATTGCTTTTCTTTGTATCTGAATGGTTGTTACCTTATTTGAATGCCCCATATTTGTCCACATTCAAACTGAGGTGGAGACTTGTTTGGCTCCTGAGCTTCTGATCCACAAACTGTTTTTCATGCAAATGTTTGTTTTGAGATGCAGGAAGAAATCTAGCAAGAGTGCCCTAGTTATTATCCTATTTGTATTTCTGTTCCAGCTACTCTCTTCTGTATGCACACTGCTCTTAATTCCATTCCTATGGCTCCAGTTTTTTCCCTTGCAAATATCACCAGTATCCCTAGGGTGGGTGTAATTTCAAATACAGATGTATTATGCAAATGGAAGCAATGGCTTGCCCAAGGGTTAAAAAAAGAGTTATTCTGTTTACCCAGATGCCTGTCTGTTTGAATGCAGTTTCCCGGTCATGGTGCCTTTTGCAGGCTTGGCTGAGGATGGTTTTGCTAATTTTTCTTGAAAGAATGCATTCAATTCCTCTAATTGTGATGGCCCCAGGTTTTGTGCCATGATGGATGTATCCACACTGGGTGGCATCCAGCTCTGGGTTTTTTATTACTGTAACCCTAGAGGAGTATCGTGGTGTCATCAGCCTTTTCTGTCTGTTGGTTTTTGCTTCTTCTGAGCCAGCTTCCCATTGGAAGTCATTCTGTCTTGCCAAATGCTACTGTGCAAAGATTCTGAGGTAGTGAATACTGTACTTTATGTTCAGCCAGTGAAATGGAAATAGTAGTAATAGATTTTTCACCCATTTGTCTGTCCATCACCTGTCATTTCCATGCCGCACCTAGCACATGTTAAGCACTTTATAAATAATGATGCACACAGAGATGAAGTGGAGATAATGTTTTAAATTGAGAACAGTGGGATCTCGTAGTTCAGGAACAACCCAACTAATCAGATCTGTAGTACCAGTGATTATGATGATGACGACATAGGAGCAGTTCCACATGTTCACATTGCATCCCTCTTTGACATCTCTAGGTGATGTCTCAGCCGTGTTATTGCCTATACTCTGCATGTTTCTGATGCCCCTACCGTTTTTAATCATCCCTGCAGGGGACAGGTGGTGCAACTAAATAGCTTCCACCGTGCTTCTCTCAAGGTTCTGTCCGGATAGGAGAATGTCTCTGCAGTGTAGACGTCTGCCTCTCTTCTGACAGATGGGAGCAGTTGAGGTAGAGTCATAGACTGAAGCCATGAATGTGGAATGTCTTCAGAACACACCATGATCTTGATGGGAAAGAGAGTTACAATGCTGGTCATGTCAACACAGCTCTTTGATTACCTTTGGATGCAGTGTTGGGGAAAATGTTGTTTGAAGCCAGATCATTGAAAAAATTCCCCACCACTAAGGCTTCTGTTTCTAATACATGGGGCTGGGTTATTAATCAAGAATATCAGAATGACTATTCTAATTTCCTTCTCCCAATATCTGTATGTTTTTTTTAAACAGGATCTTCCATAAGCAGTGAATCTTCTCCAGTTTCCTCGCCAGCCACCAACCACAGCTCCCCTGCAAGCACGCCTAAGCGAGGACCCATGGGGCCTCTCATCGTCCCACCCGGAGGGCACAGTGTGCCTAGTACACCTCCTGTAGTGACCATTGCACCTACCAAAACTGTGAATGGCATCTGGAGAAGTGAAGGACGGCAGGTAATGCTCTCTACACTCATACACACTGCTCATAGAGAGGAGAGGAGATCCTGTGTCCTGGAAGCACTGGTGATAAGTCTGGGGAGAAAGGAAAACTGGGGGAAAGAATAGGAGACTGAAGGCAGGTCTTAAGAAAAGTCCCTCTTCCCTGCCAAAGTGAGATATACCTTTCAGTTTCTAACAGAAAGTGCCAGTGGATGTTGTTTATTTTTACTACTCATGAGTAACTGGTTAAATCTCAGATAGAGTACTGTGTCCAGTTCTAGACACCACTCTTTAAGAAGGAGCAAGTTCAGAGGAGGGCAACAAGGATGATCAGGGAACTGGAAACCAAGCCCTATGAGGAAAAACTGAAAGAACTGGGCATGTTTAGCCTCGAGAAAATAAGACTGAAGGGAGATAAGATAGCACCTTTTAAAATACTTGAAAGATAATCATATAGTGGAGTGACAGAATCTGTTCTTGATCATTCCAGAATGAAGGACATGTAATAGTGGGCTCACACTTCACGAAACCAGATTTAGGCTGAATATCAAGAAAAATGTCTTGACTGTTAGAGCAGTATGACAATGGAACCAATTACCTCTGGAGGTGATGAGCACTCCCAACGCTGGAGGAATTCAAGATACAATTGGACAACTATCTGTCAGATCTGCTTTGATTTGGGTTCCTTCATTGAACAGGAGCTGGACTCAGTGGCTTTGTAGTCCCCTTCCAAAACAATTGTTCTATCATTCTTTGATTTTTGTAGTATTCTATTTATTTTAATCTAATGAAATTACTGTGTTGGGTCAGGGAAAAGATGCTGGCCATGCTGGAATGCTGCTGACTTAAGAGAGCGAGAGAGCATGACACGTCTGAATCTCAGAAACAGTGTTATAGCAAGTAGGGGTGCTATTAGCAGGGGAAACCAATGTATCTCTGTACACTGTGGAATAATATAGGTAAGACAGCAAGCACATCGGTCAATTGTGGGCATGAATGAGCTGGAGATCAACTACCAGATCCAGTAAACAGGACCCAAAGGCCAGAAGTCAAATACCAGACCAGATAGAGGAGGAGAGGCAAAGTAAAAGCGGTGTGGGGGGGAAGGGGACAGTGATGAAGGCTAGGAATGTCTTTTGTTGCTTGACGGTTCTGTCTGGGGGCAAACAGACCCATCTACCTCAGTGTTTATGGTGAGAGGATCCGGTGTCCTGAATGATCATAAGAAGCAATCAAAAGTGTTTCTTGTAATCCATGCTTGCAGGTCGTCCTCTGGGACTCACTGCTGGCATTGCCCAGGCAGGCTGACTGTATTTGCTGCTTGTCTATCTCTCCCTTACTCACAGGCAGACAGCAGCAGGGAGTCGAAGCATTTGCTAATTAAGAATCATTGTTAGTGGTTATCCTTCCCTTGTATTTTACCCAGGCTTCCCAGCGGAATCACAGCTCTTGGAAATACTAATTAAACCACAAAGAGGAAAGGAGAGGGAGGGGAAGAGAAAACAGGACCCCTGATGCTTTAGAAGCACAGATGATGCCCTGCTAGAGGGAACACACACACACAAACAGAACTCTGATCACACTGAAAAAGGAGAGGCAGCTTTCTGAGGTCTGCTCTCTCATGCTGCCCATCCTGCTGTCGTTAACCATGGTCTTATACCTTTTCTATAAACATGCTTTGAAAATGCAACCAACATAGGTTAACTGAGTGCAATTCTTTGCTCCAGATCTGTGCGTGAAGACCTGTGAAGAATAATTATTATCTTGTCCTGCAAGAGCAGACAGCTTGAGAATACTAGGACAGGGGAGGCACAAGGTTTTTGTTGTTGTTTAATTTCAGTCTCTCTGTAGCTGGGAGTCAAAAACTCTTGAGCTTACCCACACAGTATATATTTGTTGAAGTAGTTTACTTGCATCTGGATAGCTCAGTGATTTCGGTATCTGGCTGTGGAGCCACAGGGCGGGAGCTCAATTCCCCACTGTGTCTCTTTGACAGGGGCTGGACTCGATCCAGCTCTCCAGTTTTAAGATGATTACTTCTCAACTATGTGGGGTCTCCAAATCTTTACTTCCAGAATTCCGGTGCTGGTTTTTTTAAATGTTTGTGATGATGGGGCTTGCTTGCTATAACTGTGAATGTCTCAGGCTTGTTATGTGGCCACTGTGTTGGCATGTCTTGGCAGGGTATTCAGACAAAAGAAGAAGAAAAAAGCAAAACAAGATCGCATGGCATCTTAAGATTAGCTGTGTTATTTCACTGTGAGCTTTCATGGCTATGTCCACTTCTTTAGACATTCAAAGAACTTGAAAGCTCCCAGTGACGTATAACAGTTAGCCTTTAAGGCATCCCTGTGTGTTGTTCTGTTCTGGTTTTTGCTGTTGTCTGGATATGTTTGCACAAACTAACAAGGCTACTTCTTTGAAAACTACAACAATGATTGGCTTGATAGCCATCCATAGAAAATTATATTCATAAGCAAAGCAACAGCCTTGCAGCCAACAATTGATTCCAATCTTTCTGGTGGTTCCTTTTCTCTGTTTCAGCCCAAATCCATTCTTAAAGAACCCCTCCATTACCGCAGGAATATTCCGCTATCTCTGAGAAAAGGCACTAATCTTTCTGCTCCAACAGTTTGCTACTAAAGAAGCACTAATGCCACCAGGGAGCATTCTGAGTACAGAGAACTAGAGCTGGCTCAACAGATGATATGGCCCATCTATCTTAATGTAGAGATCTGGTTGAAGCTTTAATTCTTTTTTTCTGGGGCATGGGAATAGCACCACACAATAACCTGGCAAAATAAGAGAGGAGAATGGAGACGAGAGAGGAGACACTTGGAAGTTCTGAAATGCAAAAATCAAAGTGGTGGCTTGCTGCTGGCTCTAATCCATCAGAGGTTAGCAGTTTTTCAAAGATAATATGGAGTCTTTTGAAAGGCCATGTGGGATGAAGAATTGTCTATTTTAAAGCTAATAGGCCATGTCCTGTGGTCTCGCTGGCAGAGGCTGCACACTAATCACCAGAGGATGACTGATCATCCTGCTCCTTCACTTCTCCTCCCCACCAGCTTGCCATACTATTCTCCTTTCACGCTGCAAATTCATTTCAAGCCACTGCTGCAAAACTGGATATGCTGAAAGCATGGCTTTCGCAGCCTGCTCATATCTACAGTCCATCTTTCTTGAGGAGGTGCTGCCTTCTCCGACGATCCATTGTGCAATCCTGTTTTCAGGTTATAAAGAGTTCATTTGCTGGCTGATGGCAAAGATGCCACCTGACCTAATACGAGGATTTAATTTTCCAGGAACATCTTTTCAGAATCTCAGGAAGAATCTCCATCCTCAACTCCACCAAGTGTGCAAAATATTACTGAGAAAGTCTTCAGTGTTGCATGCCAGTTACTGTGAATGTCACAGTAGCTGGCCTAGCCAAATAGCCTGGTCAATGCTATAGGGGGTGTGAAGCATATCAGGCAGGGCCTCCTAATGGGATGCTTTACTCTGCACCCAGATCTCTCTCTTGTCTGCACTAACAATCCCTCCACAAAGCTTCCAGAGTAGTTTGAGGTTGGAGCCTGGTCAGTACTCCTTGAGCTGTGAGCAGGGGCATTTGAGCAGGGGAGGGGGGAGGAACACTTCTCAGCCTCCTTTCCTGGACGTGCCAGTGCTCTGGGCACAGTACTGAGGTTGGCCATGTGTTCCAACTCCAGTTTGCCTCATGTCAAAGGAGCTGAATTCTGGCTCCCATTCCGAATCCGCTTGATTTTTACTGTAGAAGACAGGAAGAAGAGGTGAAAGTGGCAGCCTCTTGCTCATCCTCCTTCCCAGACTTTATCTTTTACTGTAGAGCTCAACAGAAGAACAGATTTGTTTCAGTCAAAGCTTCCTCCCATCCAGGCCCTGGAACCTCCACTTCCTTCTCCAATCCTATTATGCCCAAGGTAGGACTGCTGGGGAAGGTGAAGAGATCCACCAGCAGGCTGATTGATACAAAATGGAGTTCTCAGCTGACTCTTCTGTTACAGCCCTCTCCAAATCACTGTAATCTGTTATAAATCTTTTGATTAATTTAAAAAAATGCTTTAGCTTAATTTTCTAAACATTTATGTTGTTTTAAGTATGGAGACCCCAAGAGGATTTGAGCCTGTCTTTTTAAGCAGGAGTGAGCAACTTTTGACCCCTCAGATGTTGTTGAAGTGCATCTCCATTGATTCCTTGCCCTCGCCACGCAGGTTAGGGATGATGGAAGCTGGAGGGCCACAGCCATGCTTTAAAATAACTAGGTAGCTGTTCTTCAGACCCAAAGCTCCCTGAATTCTCTCCTTGGTGCTACAGATTAGCTTCTTGCCTTAATTAAGGCTGTCACTGAGAGAGTCATGCAAGACCTCAATTTCATTCCATTGTGGCTGTTAGGAGGCACTGCCCTAGCACCCCATCCTCTTTCTTCAAAGACAACTAACTGGTAGTTTGCTGTTACTGTGTTCTGCTAGGGGCTTAGTTGTCTTCCCTGCATGCCTCTGATGAAGCACTTGCCTAACCTATTTATTTGATGGTCTATCAAAAGGCTAGTGGATTTATATTTGCTGTGCTGTTTCAGGCTCCGTAGGCATCTGTGATCATCCAAAGGATGATTGATACTGTATATGGCTCTGATGAACAAAGCAACTACTAAATATTAAAAGAGAGGAAAAAACACAGGCTCTCCTTCCCTTCCTTCCTCATTACAGTCAGGGACTACACTCTCTCTATGGATCTTGGTGAACTTTCTATATATGCAAATCAAGCCTTTACAAAGCACGCAAGACACTGCCTCCTTCTCCTCTCTGGTTGCAGCAAGCCCTCTCCGACAGGACGAGGCCAAAGGGGACCCTTCAATGCCGCCCCTTCTTTTCTCTGTGCTTCCTTTGTCAAGGACTAGGTCCCTGTCTGTATTCTCACTGTCTTCTGTCACTCTCTTGTCTCCCTAATGCCACCCCTGTACATCCAGATCATTGTGTCAGGCATGTACCTTCTGG